GACCTGGCTGAACAGAAGCAAGCCACCCAAGAATCAATGGATGATGGACTCTGCCTGATGGGAGGTTGTTAGTCCCAGAGGCTCTGGGTCGGACTTTAGTCAACCAGCTGCACCAGACTACCCACTTAGGTTACACCAAGCTTACTGAACTCCCGAGAGACAGGTTATGTCCAGTAAAGTCACAGGGAAAGGGGGAGGCAGAGAGAAGCAGGCATGTGTGGGTCTGAGCAGGGAGGAGGAGAAGGAAAGCTGGGCCGTGTGCAGACAGCAGGTGGACTGAGCAAGCTCTCAGGTTTATGTCAGGGGGAGGAGTAGGAAAGTCGCAGAGGGTCTATGAAAATTAAAAAAAGATTATGCAGAGGAGATCAAATATGCAAGGGTAAAAGAAAGGGACATACTTATTGCAGGAAGACAGGACCTTAAAGGACATCTTAACCAAATTTACTTTAGAAACTGGTGATAACTGGGCCACTCTGCTCCCTCTCGCCCTCTTACAGTTCTTGCAGGCCCTGCAGTCCACCCAGAAAGCTGTCCATAAACTCATCTGCCACGCCCTGCCTGTGCCCACCTCGGACCCTGTGCACTCTCTCCAGCCCGTGAACTCGATATGGTTCTCTGAGGACTCTGGCAAATGGTGTCCTCCCTGCAGAAGACTGAAAAACGAGTGATGATGCTCCTGACCACCGCAGGAGTGGTGATCCCACTATTTTAAGAAAACAAAAAGGGGAGAGATGTGTGGTTGAGGGGTTGGAAGATAGACATTTTGTAACCTTGTGTTAAGGCACTCGTAACCTTGTGTTAATGCATTCTCAGAAACCCGGCCCACCCAGGTGCGTTGAGGGCTTCATTTGCATGTGAATAAGGGTTTGTTATCTTTTGGCTTCAAAGGCTCTTCCCTTAAAAAGCAAGAGACAAAGCTAGGGTGTATGGTTTGCAGAAATGCCATCTCAAGGACATAATTTACATAAATCCACTTGTAACCTGGGGGTACCAATCTACAAATGAATGGGACTGTGTCCAAAGATCGAGAGCATTTGCTCCCTTGCAAAGCTCCAAGCAGCGCGTGCTTGTAGTTTCATTGCGTTGCACTGATCCCGGGCAGGCCAAGGGAAGGCAGATGAAGACGATGACAATGATCCCAAAGATGCTCCTAATGATACTTTCCACGGTGGGATGCTGGTTTGAGAGTGTGGATCCGACTGACTAGAGCATATTCTTGACCATCTAGAGACAGAATCTTTGTTACAAGCTTTGTCTGGGCTTTGAAGCTGTGTGTGTGCGTGCGTGCGTGTGTTTAATTCATGCTAGGAGACCTCATAGTCATCATTAGGTACAATGTACCACCTGTCTCCTTGGACACTCACTCAGTAAAAGCAAAATAAGATTGTGTCAGATTCTCTATCACTTTGCAAGATGGGGTGGGTTTATTGTGTTTGGTAGACAATAAATATTCAGACAGGATGCTCTTCCCAGCTCCCACACTCACTCTGCCAGGAAGGGTTTTGAGGACATGCTAGAAAAGAGGGAAAATGCAGTTAACCAGGCAGTGCTGGAGGGAGGGACTGGGGCTGACAGCCAACAGGGCTGCGGAAGAAAGATTCTGGCTAGAAACTAAAGCAGGGTGACCTGCCTGTTTTAATAACACTGAGGAAAACTTAGAGGAAAACCTACTTGAACATGTCTCATATTGCTCCTGGAAAAGAGAACCTCAAAAAGCAGAAATGGAAGAAATTTCAGACAATCATTTCATTTTACAGATGGGGAATTTGAAGTCCGGATAGGAGAAAGGACTTTCCCAGGGTCACATGGAAATTCCATGGTTGATCTAAAATTAGAATTCTCACTGCTTGAAGTTCACTATTTTTCTGGCATATAACATCACAAGTGTAAACCTAACTTTTAAGTCATCCATGTGCATGCTCATGGCCACAGAAACTAAAAAGCCCTATGTCCAAAACTCACCCAAATGCCTACGGCCACTCATTTCTAGCTCTCCTTTCTCTTGGACCATAGCCAGCCTATCACAAGGCTCTCTATCATTTCCCATTTGACCTTCAAGCTGATACTATCAAAAAGGCAGGATAACAAACCCAAAGACACATGTTAATAGAGAACAGGGTATGTACACAAGACTTCCAGAATCAGTTGGGGAATCATATGGGATAGCGAACACTCCTTGAAGCCACGTCAAATCAGAAATCATGCCTCACATCCAATAAAACTGTGGGAAAACAAGACCATTTGAGAACATGTGGGGTTCTGTATGGGATGAAGTGACAAGAGGGTAAACAAGGTTAAGTCTACCCTCAGGGCTCTAAGTTAGCAGGTCACATTATCTGGGAGCGCTGAAGGATGTTTCTATAAAAAGAGAATCTAAATAAAAAACCGTATTTCCATCCCTGGCTGGTCCAGTGTCCCAAAGGGTTTCGGGTTTGACTCTCGACCAGGGCACGAGCCCTGGTTTTGGACTCAGTTCCCAGGAGGCTGCTGATTGATGGTGAGTTCTTCCATGGATATTTCTTTCCATTTCTCTCTCTCTCTAAAAATCAATAAATTCTTCATTGTTGACAGTATTACAGATGCCCCCCGATTTTTTCCCTCTTAGCCCTGCTCCACCCAGCTCCTGTCCCACCCCCAACCCAGGCCTTCACCACACTATTGTCTGTGTCCATTGGCTATGCCTATATGTATGTAAAGTCTTTGGTTACTCTCTTTCCAGTGCCCCATCCCTTTGAGATATGTCAGTCTATTCTTTTTTTTTTATCCTCACCTGAGGACATTTTTCCCCCATTTTTTGTTCAGATAGAGTGAGAGGGAGAGAAAGGAAGAGAGAGAGAGAAACATCGACGTGAAAGGGACACATCGAGTGGCTGCCACCTGCATGACCAACCAGGGCTGGGAACAAACTGCAACAGAGGTACACGCCCTTAGCATGAACTGAACCCGGGTCCCTCTGGACCGCAGGCCAACACTCTAACCGCTGAGCCAAAGCAGCCAGGGCTGTCAGTCTATTCTTAAAAAAAAAAAAACTATATTGCTAAACAACAAATGTGGAACCTGGGATCAAAATAACAAAAGGTAAGGAAGCACAAAGCACCAATCAGACCTAAGGTCTAATCCTAAATACTTACCTGAGCAGTCTAAATACTTTAACCCTTTCTTATTTTGAAGAGAACAACAACAGTACAGTATAAAGAGGGCATTTACTCAGGTTGTGGGCCTGATCCCCAGTGGGGGAACATGCAGGAGGTGGCCAATCGATGTTCTCTCTCATAGATGTTTCTATCTCTCCCTCTCCTTTCCTCTCTCTAAAATCAATAAAGAGAAAAAAAATTTTTTTTAAATAGAGGGCATTTACTTATCAATACCTCTACATGAGGCAATGCATTAAGCACTTTATATGCCTTCTTTCATCTAAATCCCCATTTCAGTCTCCTGAAATGTGCTTGGCCTCATTATTTCCGATGAGAACCAGAGAAATGAAATCCTTTGCCCAAATGTGTTACCAAGTTGTAGGACCAAATTGCGAATTAAAGTTTGGGTTTTTAATCATTTTATTTCAAAGGATGGTGGTGAGGATTAAACTTAAAATTTAAGAAGGAAAGCACACTGCAAAGTGCTAGCTCTTAGAATGTACTGCTGTACGTGGTAATCTGTGTCCCTGCCTGTCCTTATTTGCAACCCCTGGCTTATCCTGTACAAGGAAGGGGCAGTAAGGCTCAATCCACCATTGCCAATTCTCAAACCATCTGTTGCCAAAGTCACTGCATTCCTGGTCAGCTAAACCGGGGACAGATGTGGAGGGGAGGCCAGGAGAAGATCCCCAATGCTGTTCCTTCCCCTTCCAGCTAGAGGACTCAGAAGCTAGGAGGCAGAGGAAAGGGGGTGCCCTGGCTTTGCTATGAGAGCTAGAGCACCTGATTTTCCTCTCTGAGAATCAATTTCCCCTTTGGAAGCAAGGAGCTGGGCTTCAGAGCCCGGGAGGGGACCGTGGAATGGTGACCAAGAGCATGGGCTAAGCAAGTGATTTAACTTCTCACACTCAGCCCAGTCTTCAAAATGCATGATAGATAAGAGTAGTAACTACGTAGTACACAAGGTTGCTAAAGCCAAATAACTCACAAATCAAGTAATTCACAAGTGCTTAGCAGAGCGCCTTGGACACGGTGTGCATTCAATAAATGTTGCCTATTACTACTCTTGCCATTGTTATCAACATCATTCCTCCAACTCCAGTGTTTGTGTTGTCTCTCTGCTAAGCAAGGGATTCCTTTGAGAAGGGCTTTCATTTATAAATGCATTCGACTCTCTAAAGAGCGCTCTAGAGCCCTGTATTGTGCGCTTTCCGGCACAACGACCAGGTTTCCTGCCCCTAGAGAAAGGCTGCGCCTTGCAGAACAGCCATGACACAACCCCCAGTGCTCCCTTCCTCTTCTTCCCTGGGGGGCAGGGGCGAGGCCAGAGCCCTGACTTCCGCAGCCCGCCCATATCAGTTACCATTGGTCACCTCGTCACTGGCGTGATTAAGACCCCGCCCCCTGCTCTCTGGGGCCACTCTGAGGCGATCTCCCGAATAGGAGGGGCCGCAGAGGGGCGGCCGCAGTGCATCCTGGGTTTTGTAGTCCATCTGCACAGCTGCAGCCAGAGAGCAGGGCCTCACGACCTGGAGAACTACAATCCCCATAAGGCGGGCGGCGAGCTGGGGGGGGGGGTCACGTCACGTGGGCGCTCAGCTTGGGCGGGCTATTTCTCGGTGCGGCGGCGGCTGGGGGACCGGGGCCTTTTGTTTGGAGCAGCTGCGGGGGGCGGGGGGGCCCCGGAGCGGCGAGGCCGGCGGCCTTCCCCAGCTCGCTCGGTCCTGGCCGCCCCTCTCAGGGGTTGGGGGGCCACCCCCTGGGCCGGCCTCGCCTCAGGCGCCGCCGTCCCGCCCTAGGTCCGCCCCGCCTGCCCCGCCCGCCCCGCCCGGCCAGCTTAAGGGGAGGAACCGGCGGGGCCTCCTCGCAGGGCCTAGCCGCCTCCGGAGTCGCCGCACCACCCTCCGAGCTCCGAGCCCAGGGTGCCCCTCGCCCCTCCGGCCGTCACCATGAAGATCAAGGATGCCAAGAAACCCTGTAAGATGGGGGGCTCGGGCCCGCTGGGTTGGGAGAGCACCTGGGGCGCCGCGTGGACGCGCCTTGGCGGAGCGGCCTGCTTCCCTGCCCGCCGCTCCCGCCGGTGCCTTGCGGGGGTCGCGGGGGTCGGGCAGGGGTCGGGCGCGGGGCCTGGGCGCGGGGCCGGAGCTCCGTCCCATGTCCCATCCCCCAGCCCTCGCTCGCAGAGGCCTTCCGCCCCCGGGCCCTTGCCGCCCGCTTCCTCCCCAGCTGGGCGGCGCAGGAGGGAATTTTTGACTCGAGCCTCCAGCGCCCTCCCAGCCTCCGCAGCCCTGCTGGAAAGGGTGGTCGTGGCTGTCAGTGCGCCGGGCAGTTCCTGGTTCGGGCTCTGCTCGTGTCCTTGAAGTCCCCGCGGGTTCCTGGGAGTTGCCACTCGCTGTAATGAGCTTTTAAACGCCCGTGCTTGTAACCGGCCACCGACTTATTTTGGTTGAGCATAAAAACGAATTTATGGTTGTTTGAAGCAACAAAAAAGATAAAAATCGCAGGTATTTCCGCCCCTCGAAGCCAACCACTCTTATGGGTTCACTGCTATTAACCGCTGTAAAATATGTCGGGGAATATTCAGATGTTTTTTACAACCGTATAGGCAAAACATTCTTTCGATGAGCCGGTCAACTTTTACTCGTTTTCATTTTAGCCCATTAAAAACCTTCCTTCTGTAAAGGGCTTATTTACTCCCCCAGCCATTGTGGTCGTCGTCCTTGAAGTGTGTTCCTCCCGAGCAACCAGGAATGCGGGAATGCATGCTTGTGTTTGAGAGTCGTGTTTATAGTCTTCAGTGTTGAGTGTCTCGCGTGATCCGACCGTTCTAAGAAATCTGATATAAAAGGGAGCAAGGACTTTTTCCCGCCCGTCAGGTTTTTTGTAAGCCTCAAAGGAAAGAGGCAACATGCCAGAGCACCCTGCAAGCTGCTCATTGTTACTTAAATGTAAAATAATTTGGTCTTGCTTTTACAGGTAAGGAAATTGAACTCACTGAGCCCCAGAGTAACCAACTCTGTGCTAAGGAGGATCCCGGTCCGCTGACTCATAGCCTCGCATTCTTCTGCACCCATAGGGCATAGTCTAAATGCTTAGAGAAACATAAACCTTGCTGATCTGGTAGTTTGCCAATTTCTGGTAGTTTGACGATTTCTTGAGCTAAATAAATCTTGTTCAAGGAGTCTATAAAATAGTGATATGGAGGCTTAAATGATCAGGTTATTTAGAAACACTTTTACATTTGCTGAAGTAAAGGGATCTTGAACAAATGCAGTATGTAAAACACTTGGACACCTTCCCTCAACACCTATATTTTCTCTGCTTGTCTTAGAATTTCCATTTAGTGAGATGGGTTTACCTATGACAAGCTCAGATTCTGACTCTTAAAGGTATTTTTTTCTTTTTGCCATGATAGTGATTTGGTTACTTAGATTTGGGAAGACTTATAGTCAGGTATGAATACCACCTCTGTCAAAGGTGTTTTGGTTGTTTTAAGCAAAGATGATAATGTTTATAAAATAAACTTGAGGTTGAGGATAAAAGAACACCTATTGATTAAATAAAAGTTGGCTATTACCACGTTGTGGTACATTGTGAGACCATTACTGTTAAAACAGGGTCATGCTGAAAAAACTAGTCAGGTAATTTAATTTAGAAGTCCAAAATAACATTCTCAGTTTCTTATATGTGAAAGGTGACTTTACTGCCTACTCAATTCTTTATGGTGAAAATATAGAACATCTTGTTTTTGTGTGAAGGAAAATATGAACTGTCCTGGAAATATATGTAACTGAAAAGTGTTACTTCTAATTTTTTAAATCACTCAGGTTAGATAAAGTATATTTGTTTTTGAGTACTTGTACAGGGTTTTTCAGTTATAAATTTAGTGAGCACTTAGTGTACGGAAGGCGCTGTCAGCATGCATTGCATCATTTAGCCCTTATTGCAGCATCAGTGACTGGAAGCTGTATCTCCTACTGGCTAAGTAACTTTGGCTTCACACACTTTCTTGCATTATACACCTAAGTGTTAGAAAACATTTGCTTTTAGATACATCTCTGATATATTACCAGGTTATAAACCAAATGCATGTATTTAGCTAAAAAAATAAGAAAAGGAATTGGTTTCATCCTTTCTATTATGTAACAAAAAGATCAGCATTTGAAATTTTGAGTGAATTCAATTCCAGGAGAGGAGTATGAAGTCAAACATTAACCTAGTGAAAAAGTTTTGCTAGTTAAAATACAAGAAGCCAAATAATGGCAATGTTTGTTTGCTTTGCCTTTACTAACATGTTTCACACTACTTAAGTGTTAGATATTAAATATACTAAAAATCCAAACAATTGTGTATTCCTCTGTACCTTGACTGACATGATATATTAAGGTAATAGGCTTTTCAACCTTTGTTTTGCTTACCTGTATGGCATGTAATGTGATTAACAAAGTGATAGTAAAATATCTTTTTTAAAAGAAATTTGAGCCCTGGCCGGTTTGGCTCAGCGGTTAGAGCACCCGCCTGCGGTCCGGAGAGACCCGGGTTCGTTCCCGCTAAGGGCACGTACCTCGGTTGCAGTTTGTCCCCGGCCCTGGTTGGTCGTGCGGGTGGCAGCCACTCGATGTGTCCCTTTCACGTCGATGTTTCCCCCTCTCTCTCTCTTCCTCTCTCTCCCTCCCACTCTGTCTGTACAAAAAAAAAAAGAAATTTGAAATACAGGTTTTGGAGTCTACTTTGCTAACCCAAACAGTAAGTTACCTGAAGTTATTATCAAAACCATAGAGAATTATACAACATTTATTTGTAGTTTGTGTTGTGTAATTTGATTGGCCTTGTTATCAGTTGAGTCACTACCTAAGAATATCACTTCCAGAAAACATGTAGTAGTAAATTTATGGACCTTGATCTCAGAGGGGTTTTGTGAACTGGACCCCAAGGGCAAAGGAAGTAAAAGCAAAAATGACTGGGACTACGTCAAACTAAAAGTTTCTGAGCAGCAAAGGAAACTATCAACAAAACAAAAAGGCAGCCAACCTAATAGGAGAAGATATTTGCAAACGATACCTCCGATAAAAGGCTAATATTCCAGAGATATAAAGAACTCGTATAACTCAACAAGAACAAAAAAATCCAATTTAAAAAATGGGCAGAGGCCCTGAACACACACTTTTCCCAAGAAGATATGCAGATATCGGAAAAGATGCATGATTTAATAACCTACACGGGAAATGCAAATCATAACCACCTTAAGATACCACCGCACACCTGTTAGGGTGGCCGTTCTCAATAAGACAAGAAATAACAAGTGTTAGAAAAGAGGTGAAGAAAAGGGAACCTTTGTACACTAATAGGAATGTGAATTGGCACTATGGAAAACAGTATGGAGGTTCTTTAAAAATTTAAGAATAGCCCTGGCCGGTTTGGCTCGGCGATTGGAGCGTTGGCCTGTGGTCCAGAGAAACCCGTTTTGGTTCCTGCTAAGGGCATGTACCTTGGTTGCGGTTTTTCCCCAGCCCTGGTTGGGTTGTGCGGGAGGCAGCCATTTGATGTGTCCCTTTCACATCGATGTTTCTCTCTCTCTCTCCCTCCCACTCTTATCTGAACAAAGGTCGAGAAGTGTCCTAGGATGAGGATTAAAAATTTAAGAATAGAGCTACCATATGACCCAGGAATTCCTCTTCTGGGTAGCTACCAAAACAATTTGAAAACTTATTTGTAAAAATAAATGTCCATTGCAGCGTTATTCAGAGTAGCCAGGACATAGAAACAACTTGTGTCTTTTGACAGATGATTGGATAAAGAAGCTGTGATACATGTATACAATGGAACACTACTCAGCCATAAAAAAAAGGATGAAATATTGCTGTTTGTGCCAACATGGATGGATCTTGAGAGTATCATGCCAAGTGAAATAAGGCAGGCAGAAAAGGACGAGAGCCACATGATTTCATTCATATGAGGGACATAAAACAGTAACAGACACACAAACTCAGAAACAGACAACAGTATGGTGGTTACCAGAGGGGAAAGGGGGCGCAAGGGGAGGATGAAAAGGGTAAAAGGGGTCAAATATATGGTAACAGATGAAGTCTAGAATTTGGGTGGTGAGCACGCAATGCAGTATAAAGATGAGGTATCATAGAATTGTACACCTGAAGCTTGTTTAATGCTGTTAACCAGTGTTATCCCAATAAATTTAATTTTAAGGGATATTATCACTTCTTATAGATAATAAGGTACAATTGGATATGACAGATTCTAATAACTCTTTAGATGTAACTTTTTACCAAAGGGGAAGAAATATTACCTGAAGTTTCTAAGGCAATATAATACTGAAGGTGTGAAGGTGGTTTTTTTCCCCTTAGACTGTTTGTAAACACCAACATTTTAATTTGGAGTGATGATTGGAAACAGTAAAAATTTTTATCCAAGAACTTGAAGCATGTCTGAAATTTACTCTAGTGCACAAGCCCTTTACAGTGTTTTCTTAAAATAATCCGGTAATGTTTTGAACATTTCCAGCATTTAGTTTCTCTTTATGCTGAAGAACAATTAAATCCTAATTTGGCATAATATCCCTTTGGCCTGAAAGCTGCATTGGACCAATAGCAATTAGATAGCTCTTTAATGATTCTCTGCTGTCCCTTTACCAACACTTAGCACGATAACAAACTTGTATAACCCAGCTTTTTGTAAGTTAACATTGTAGCCCTTGGGGCTAGATATCTAATGCTGTGGAATCATGTATAAAGATGATTAGACATGTGGAGTTTTTTTCTTTTGCATACGTAATCTATCTGATAAGAAACGGGTTTTGGCAGTATTCTATGATAACTTAAGGGGAGAATTAATGGCAGCTCTCTTAGGCTAAGATCAGAAATAAAGTAGCAGCTACTGTTTTTGTTTTTGTTTTGAAAACCAAATACACAGATTACAAGAGATTCTAGGAAATTCTCAGTCTAGAGAAGGTAATGTATATTTGCCATCATCAAAGTACTTATTTATACTTACGGAATGTGTGTTTTATTTTTTAAATGTGTCTTTTGGTTCATTTTTCACCTTGGCAGTGGAGAGTTTTATTTTCAAAAGGGCAAGAAATGTTTAGGTTATTTGCAGTAAATAGGCTCTTTATGCACTGCTGACCTACTTTTAATGATAGGAGTGATCATAATTAAGAATTTGTGACTTCTGTATTCTTGTTGCTTCCCCCATACTTCTTAATGGTGATGGTTTCTCTGGCATAGGAAATGAATTCCAGAGCTCTGTTGAGCTGAAGGCTCCCTGTGTGAATGGTGGCTACTACCAGTTTTTTTTCATTGGAGCCACTGGCAAGGCGGAGTTCGCTTTCAGTCTTTACCTTCCTGATAGAAGAAAAACTTGTCATCATTGAGATCTGCTGGAAATAGAAAGGACATGTAATGTTCTAGTTTGCATATTACGGTTACTAAGAAATTCATCATCTGCAATGTAGCATCTCTAGTTAGTTTCCCTTTAAGAACAGACATGCTAATAGGCTAGATGTGAGATGAATCGTGGGCTTTCGCACTGTTGATTTAAAACACCTACCTCTGTGGGCAGTAACCCTTAAGGAAATCATATTTTCCAATTTAATTTTGTTATTTCATAGAACTTTCTGTTTTCTAGTTCAAGTGGGTTTTACAATGGGTAAAATTGAATGGCAGTAAATAGTCTGTTCTGGTGCATGAGTTCCTGGTTGTTGATGATTGTGTTCTTTTTTACGCCTTATATACCATGCACACTTTATTTTTAATAATTTTTTAAAAAAATATTTTTTCTTTATTGATTTCAGAGAGGAAGAGAGAGAGAAAGAGATAGAAACATCAATGAGAGGGAACATCGATTGGCTGCCTCCTACAAGCCCCCAACTGGGGACTGGGCCCACAACCTGGGCATGTGCCCTGACCAGGAATTGAACTGGCGACCTCTTGGTGCATGGGTCAACGCTCAACCACTGAGCCACATCAGCCAGGCTGTTTATTTTTTTTATTTGTCACCTGAGGATATTTTTCTACTTGTTATCAAATAGAGTGGGAGGGAGGGAGAGAGAGAGAGACATTGTTGTGCTAGAGCCACATGGACTGGTTGCCTCCTGCAGGACCCAACCAGGGGCAAACCGCAACCGAGGTATGTGCCCTTGACTGGAATCAAACCTGCGACTTATTGGTCTTTGGGCCTATGCTCTAACCGCTGAGCCAAACTGGCCAGGGCCATGCACACTTTATAATATTCTTCAGTGTCTAATGTAATTTAAGACAAATGAGAAATGGGATATACTGTAATAATGTAACATAGGTTTGTTTACAGATATATTTTTTTTTACTTCCTGTGTAATGTTTTCTTTTTTGAGATAGGACAGGTTTGGTGGTTTCAGGCCAATAGATCCACAAAAGCCTCCTAAGAAACAGTGGAAGGTTTTTGTTCTTCTTTATCATTCTAATGATAATTATACCCAGTCATTTTCTCTCTGGGAAAGAGTCAAACAATACTTTCCTGCAATCTGGACTTTAGAAACAGGACTTCTTCATTCAAGTGAGCCTTTTGATTGCCCACTCCAGAGTTAATGTACTTTGGGATTGGCTATTGATATACCTTTAGGGTCAGACACTTTGGTGCTTATGCATAGCTTTAGAAAAGTAGATAATTTCTTACTCTCCAAAATTTTATCTATAAACCTGAAATATTTTCCTGGGAAGTAATGTTCCTTTGCAACTTAATTTGTGGTTCAGTGTAAGACTTCAAAGTTCTTCACGTGTTACTGGAATTTTTACTTTGCACAATGACAGTATTCAGGTATTTATAACCTAGGAGGAGACAGGCTGCTGACTGAAAATAAAAATGGCATGAACTTTGAACCTGGTGATGCTTCAGCTTCGTAGTTTGCTCTCTGACATTTTTATTTGTATGTATATTTTGACGTGTCTGTGTTTGACACTGACAAGGGCCCAGAAAGAACAACTGCAGGTGTTAAGTGATTTTTAATGTGTTTTGAGTTTTGGAAAATAAAGGATTTTAGCTTAATCTTACCTTGTAGAAATTTTTCGATTCCAAAATGTACTTTATGTAGCAGTAGTGATTTCCACACCTCCTCCCCTGAAGCCTACAATCAAGCATTTAATCAAATAGGAGAATTCATTTTGGTTATGTAATATCAGAAGATTCCTTATTTTATCTAATGCCCATTAGAAAGCACCCTAATTACATATCTGTTCAGTAGGTTTGGGAAATTCTGAAGGAATCTCTGGTTTATTGGATCAATGGAGCTATTCCATATTGTTTTCTTCAAATGTATTTGTCCAAGCCAACACTTGGCTGTGAAAGTCTCCTCTGTGACCATTAGTGTTGCTGCTTGCTAGTACTGATCTATTTGAACAAGGGGGAGAAGGAGGTTGATATGTAACTTTACATGAACCTGTTTAAAGCAGGAATTCTGGATTTAATGAATAAACAGTAAAATGTGATAGCACATTTCTTTTTACCTAAGGATATAGTATATGGTTTCTACTTTATTTTTTAATGTTTACATTGAAATTTTTTTTTTTTAGAGGAAGAGAGAGAGAAACGACTGGCTGCCTCCTGCACACCCCCTACTGGGGATCGAACTCACAACCCAGGCACGTGCCCCGACTGGAAATCAACTGGGACCTCCAGGCCATGGGATGACGCTCAATCCACTGAGCCACACCAGCCATGCTGGCTTCTACTTTTTTAAAAAAAATTGCAAATGACATAATTTGTTTTAAAAATGTACTGCTTATAACCACCCAACAAAATTAAGAAAAGTTAGTCAGTTTTTTCCTGCATGTTACTTATTTATACACATTTATAGGTGACATAAAGCAAGTACCTGTTTAGGGCATTGCTGCCCTAGCTTCCCAAATTATGGTCTGAATTCGTTTTACTTTTTTTTAATGTTTCTTTTTTAAGATTTTCCCTAGATTACTTAAAAGTGATTATCAGCCAATTTTATTACATTAAAATCTTTTTAGAAACCTTTTCAATGCCTGGGTGATAATCTATTTAAAAAGAGTTGGTCCACATCTTTCACATGGTGAGCATTTCATAAATGAAGAGGAATGTCTTGGTAGGAATTAAAAGGCCCTGAGCCAACCTCAAGCATCCTGTGATGGGTTTTAGAAAATACAGGAAAACACTTTGAAGGGGAAAGGTGAGTTGTAGATATGTAGAAGATATGTCTTACCCTATAAGTTATAGACTGAATGCATGATTGAGGGTAAATGAAGTTTGTAGCTAGTTAACTCATTTCTAATTTGCATTTCCAAAATATATGTGTGTGTGTGTGTGTGTATATATATATATATTTTTTTAATCCACAGCTTTCCCATGGTTTGGCATGGACATTGGCGGAACTCTAGTAAAGCTCTCATATTTTGAACCTATTGATATCACAGCAGAGGAAGAGCAAGAGGAAGTTGAGAGCTTAAAAAGTATTCGGAAATATTTGACTTCTAACGTAGCATACGGATCCACCGGTATTCGGGATGTACACCTCGAACTGAAGGATTTAACACTTTTTGGCCGAAGAGGGAACCTGCACTTTATCAGATTTCCAACCCAGGACCTGCCTACTTTTATCCAAATGGGAAGAGATAAAAACTTCTCAACATTACACACGGTGCTATGTGCTACAGGGGGTGGTGCTTACAAGTTTGAAAAAGATTTTCGCACAGTACGTATCTGTTTCCTAGTCAAAAATTGATCCCCAGTCTCTCCAGTTTTTAAATATGAGGCTAGGTTTCCATCTAGCATGTTTCTTAGATTAGTTCCTTCTGCAGGTGCATGACTAGCTTTTGATTTGAGGCATTTAAACACCTTCATAGGATAAGTAAAAATTGTCCAGATTTGGGGTTGTTGTACATATTTGCTAAGACCTGCTCACTTTAGGGACTGCAACAGTGAAAAGGACCTGAATTAATTTGGTAGTGTACAAAGCCTGGTGTAAACGGGGCTTGAATTACTCTATTATTGTGTTATGTTTGCAGATTTTTGAGCATTGAACATATAGTCATCCCTCCCAGGGCCAATTCCGTCCCAAACCACAAATGAAGCCAGTGTCTTCTGATTAGCAGACACTTAATTGAAAGTCCCTGTTACCCCTTTTTCCTGGTTTTATGTTACTGTCTCAAAGGGGTTTATTTGGATATGGCGAGTGGACTGTGTAAGTGCTGATTTGAGTTATGTGCTAGTAGTTTTGCTGGACTTGTAGTCCTTTTCTTTAAAATAAAATTAAAAAGTTGATATTTGGGCAACTAAAATGTTTCCTTGAAAATATGCATGTTTACCATTTAACTTCATAATTCATATAAGAAAAGTGTTAATAGAACAGAAGTGATCACTTACGTGGCTAACATAAGAGAGCCTCTTGTAATTTAGAGTAATTTAAAAGTCTAAATTTTTATTGAAATTTTTTTTCTCTAATGGATAATCTCTATTTGAATTCACTTTATTGAGTAATTTAAACATCATAAATTTTATGAATTCGATACCGGTTTGTTTGGGCAGAAGCACTGTCCTTGAAGCAGCTTTCATCTGGCCATTGAAAATGCTGATATCCAAATACAGTTCTAAATTATTTTTAAAGTAGCAATATATTCTAGTGACAGAGTTTTATAATATTTGTTTTTCTTTGATGCTTACGCATTTATTAAGGTAATATTGAGCATCTAGTATGTGTCAGTTATTGTGCTAGACACAAAAGCCCTCAGAGTGCAGTGTTCTAGACCACACAGCAAGTGAAAGCGGTGCCATGGGAACCGGAGGAGTGGCACATAACAGGTCCTGGCGAACTGAAAGCTTCCGGAGGAAGTGATATCTAAGCCGAGGTCTTTTACACCACGTATTTTATAATATACTCTTTACTAACCTGAAATTAATTTAATAATTTCAAACTAGTATTCAAACTACAGTATGAAGACAGGAAACTAAGGTATGTGTACACACACACACACACGTCAGTAGGTCGATTCTCTGGTGTGAACACTTGACAGGGTATAATGAAGTATGAGGTGCCTGCACCTATATATAGAGTCATCATGAGTTCTAGAGCCACATATGCTAGATTTGATGTTTTATTAGAGACTTGACTACCACAAATGTTGTTGCTGTTGATGTAACTTTCCAAGACGCTAAAACAACACTCAATAAGCAGTACAGTGTTTCCTCAGTTTATTTGGGGTTGCATTCCTAGCAATTTAGTATGTTCTCAAACTATAAAAAAAGTACTTTATGCTCATATAGACAGGTAAACTACTTTGTGTTTACATAGGCTCAGATAATTAAAAACAGGTTTTCCTGCTGCTCCCTATAAAATGTCTTTCAGGATAAAGATAATGCGGGAACGGTGTAATTCTTTGTTTTGCACAGCTGCCCCACCTATTGCAGATGTCAGGCATCCCAAGTCTCTGCCGCAAAATGTTAGTTTTGTCCCTTTTTCCCATCTTTGAAAACTAAAATGTCCCCACATTTCCAAAATGCCTCTAGAGATAACACTGCCATCACTGGACTAGGTGAAATCCCAAAGAGAATTTAACACAAAACAAGTAAAAATGTGGGGGTCGTAGATGATTTTGAAGTTTTGTAAAGTACATGAAATTACATAGTATGAGTCAGTATTTTGAATGCTGTTCTTTGTTCACTTTATAAAACTTTTTTTTTTTTTGGTATTTTCTTACAGATTGGAAACCTCCACCTGCACAAACTGGATGAACTTGACTGTCTTGTAAAGGGCTTGCTGTATATAGATTCTGTCAGTTTCAATGGACAAGCAGAGTGCTATTATTTTGCTAATGCCTCAGAACCTGAGCGATGCCAAAAGATGCCTTTTAACCTGGACGACCCCTATCCATTGCTGGTAGTGAACATTGGCTCGGGAGTCAGTATTTTAGCAGTCCATTCCAAAGACAACTATAAACGAGTAACTGGGACGAGGTAAGCAACCTTTTCTTTTTGCAGCCTTCACATTGTGATATACACTGAAGTTGTGAAATCAATATAGTAACACTAGCCTCATCAGAAAAATATGTATTTGTGCCACAGTAAGAAATGTAGATGTGCAAATATAAGTTAAAGTGTTGCAGGCAATATTGTTTTAAAGTCATGTGTGTAACAACTCAGATTAAAATCATTAAATATTTATATTGGTTAGCATTGGTTGGCATTAAAATTCCATAACGTTAAGAGTGGATTTCCCTCTTGCCGGTGTGACTCGGTTGGTCGCGTGCAGTGCCAGGCGCTGGAAGTCGCCATTTTGATTCCCCGCCAAGGCACATGCCCAGGTTGTGGGGCTGAGCCCTAGTCAGGGTATGGGAGGCAACCGATTGATGTTTCTTTCTCTCCCTCCCTCACCCTCTCTTCTCTCTCTAAAATCAATAAGAACATTTTTTTTAATTACTTTTTGTCTGGAACAATTCCAGTGACTTTATTTTCGAAAGCATTTTTCTTCTTTCCTTATTTTTCACTTTTTATAGAAGTGTTTAAACCTAAAGCTTGCCAAATGCTGATTTCATGCAGCATATTGGGCAACATTATAATTAATTCTTACAGGATGAATTTAGCATGAGCTCTTTATGGGATAACATTAATGTTCCAGATATCCCTTCTGAATTTCTATAGTCTGAAACATGAGTGTGAAGTGAGATTTTTACATTTTTCTCATGATTCTGATATGTACTTGATCAACATTTAAGGAGGGTGGTGGAGCGCTGGCTGGTTTGGCTCAGCACTTAGAGCGTCAGCCTGCGTCAGCCTGCGGTCCAGAGAGACTCTGGTTCGGTTCCCGCTAAGGGCATGTACCTCGGTTGCAGTTTGTCCCCGGCCCTGGTTGGTCGTGCGGGTGGCAGCCACTCGATGTGTCCCTTTCATGTCGATGTTTCTCTCTCTCTCCCTCCCACTCTATCTGAACAAAAATGGAAAAATGTCCTCAGGTGAGGATTTAAAAAAAAAGAAGGTGGTAGAGACTCCTATTTGAGAATGGTTTGTGAAAAAGTTCATTTCAGTTTTAAAGTAGTACTCCTATTTAAGTGATGCTTAAATTTAATACCATGTAAGTATTAAAGTATTTAAATATTTATATACTAAATGTAATAAAATTAGTATTTATTTATGTGGTAGCTAAAAATCTACCTCCATTGAAACTAGACCAAAGAATTACAGGGAAGGACAGTAATCCCTTTTTTCCTGCGCTTTTGCTTTTTCCATAGTTTCAGTCACTGCCGCCCGAAAATGTTAAATGGTAATTTCCAGATATAAACAATTTATGACTTAAATTGCACACGGTTCTGAGCAGCATGATGAGATCTCCACGCTGTATACACACACCTCTCAGCCTTTGATCACTTGGTAGTCCTCTCGGTTATCATCCCCTGTTGCAGAGTTGCTGTGCTTGTATTCAAGTAACTATTTCGCTCAATAATAGTGGTCCCACAAAGCACAAGAGTTAGTGATGCTGGGAATTCGGATATGCCAACAGGAAGCCTTAAAGTTCCTTAAGTGAAAGTTCTCAATAAGGAAAGAAAATAAATGGTATGCTGAGGGGAACGAATTTTCTATGCATGGAATTGTGAAGGAAGAGGGGAAAAAATGCCTGTTAGTTTTGCTATCACACCTCAAACTGCCAACGTTACAGAAAACGTGTTCTGATTGATGGGGACATGTTGAGCCAGAAAGCGTTGAGCCTATAGGAAAACTTTAGCAAGGGGTCCCCTGAAATGAGTGACCACATTCACATCACTTTTATTACAGTATGTTGTAAGAATAACAGTAACTAATAATAAAATAAAACCAATCTCTTATTGTACCTTATTTATAAATTAAAGTTTATTATAATCAGGTAGAGGAAATAATACAGGATTCATTACTGTCTGCAGTTTTAGGCATCTACTGGAGGTCTTAGAACGTATCCCCCGCAGATAAGGGGATGACTGTATTACCTACTTAAATCAATGCTAAAAGACAAATTTAGCCTGCTAACTAAAATCCAGCACTGATTCAAGGATAGAACTTGTTAGAAGTTCAGGTGAGGCTAGGGAGCAAAGGCTTTGATTTTAGGGATTAGAGAGATAATGATTTTATTTTGTGAGCATATCTAAAAGAATAATAGAACCAAGGAAATTTCTGTCATTAAAATGATGACCAGCCTGACATAAATTTCCTTGCTGTATTTATTTCTAGATCATGTAAATGTTAATGTATCACACTGAGTTGATTTCAGCCTTGTCAGGCTAAGTACAAAGGACTTTTGCAAAATCATTTCTTAGAAATCGTGTAGAATCACCAGTTTTCTTTTAATTTATATGGCATGAATTTTAGCACTGAATCCTTTTACATGCACACAAAAGCATCTATTTTTGGCAATACAAGGTATAAAGGATCAGATGAAGTTACTGGAAAATATAAAAGACTCTCCTGTCCTCATGTCGTTTCCACCAAGTGATCTTTTTCCTTTGGTTTATTCCTTGATCTCACCAGTTAGGTTTTGCTAATCATTTTTAACCTGTTCCCATTGTGTTAATATTTCAGCACTTAGTATTAGCAATATGTTGTTTCTTTGTGTTTATTGAATAAATAAATGCTCCACCCTTTTAACTTTGGAGAAAGAATACAGTGTGTAAATGCATCTCATAGAGTTTCTTTAATTTTTTTTAGCCTTGGAGGAGGTACCTTTCTGGGTTTATGCAGTCTGTTGACTGGCTGTGAAAGTTTCGAAGAGGCTCTTGAAATGGCATCCAAAGGTGACAGCACCCAAGCGGACAAACTGGTCCGTGACATTTATGGAGGAGATTATGAAAGATTTGGTCTACCAGGTTGGGCTGTAGCATCTAGGTAAGTCTGACATTTTTGTTGTAATTAAAATTGCTTATTTATATCCAAAATACATAAGGGACTCATACAATTTACACCAAAAAAAAACAAAAAAAACCCACAAATAATCCAATTACAAAATGGCCTGGGGACCTAAAACAGACATTTCTTCAAAGAGGATGTACAGACGGCCAATAGACATGAAAAGATGCTCACATCACTAATCACCAGGGAAAGGCAAATGAAAACCATAATGAGATATCACCTTAAACACCTGTCAGTAAATCAACAAACAGTGAGTGTTGGCAAGGATGTGGAGAAAAGGGAATCCTTGTGCAGTGTTGGTGGGAATGCAGATTAATGCAGCCACTATGGAAAACAGTTTGCTGCCACATGACCCAGCAATCCTACTTCTGGGTATTTATCTGAAGAAATCCAAAACACTAATTTGAGAAGACATCTTCACCTTATGTTCATTGCGGCATTATTTATAATGGCCAGATTATGGAATCAACTTAAGTATGTCTGTTGATAATGATTGGATACAGAAGTCATGGTACTACATAGAATGAAATATTACTTGTCCATAAAAAAGGACAAACAAAATCTTCCCATTTGCGACCACATGGATGGACCTAGATGGTATTATGCTAAGTGAAATAAGTCAGACAGAGAAAGACAAATACCATATGATTTACCTTGTGTAGAATCTAAACAAAATAAATAAACAAACTTATAGATACAGAGAACAAATTGATGGTTACCATGTAGGGGAGGATTGTGGGGATGGGTGAAAAGGGGACTGGATGAAGATGTATAGATTACCAGATATAAAAACAGTCATAGTCCTCCCTTTATATAGAAAGTAACTTTTGGAAGGTAACATTTATATACCCTTGACTGCATACTACATATACTCTTTAAAAGTAATATAACTTAGTCTGACTCTGCCTCCTTCCCGTTCTTTCTCTCCTCTGACCCCCTTTTCCCTTTTCTTCCCTTATCTCTCTCCCTCCTCCCTTGTTAACAGCTTGGTATTTCATTGGTTGATGATGTTTGGGTTCTCATTATTTTGCCATGTACACTTCAGTGGACCAGTGAGTAACCCTGTATATGTGTAGATTTGTCTGTAGGATAAATTCCCAAAATGTATGAAATGTTGCTTTTTATCAGCAGGTTTGATTTTGATTGTTTTTTGTTTTTTGTTTTTTCCATTTCTCTGTAGTTTTGGCAACATGATTTACAAAGAGAAGCGAGAATCTGTTAGTAAAGAAGATCTGGCAAGAGCTACTTTAGTTACTATCACCAATAACATTGGTTCTGTGGCTCGAATGTGTGCTGTTAATGAGGTAAAACAATTTTAATGGTATGAAAAATGTGAATTGGAGTTTTATGTACATACTGCAGCGCTTTGTGTTCTTTATGGAGGCCTATAGGATGGAGCCCTAATCCATTATACCCCATGACGCATTGTGTATGTTCTGTACTCAATTGTTCTATTACCCCTAAAGAAAGTAGCAAGTAATTCCAGTTACACCTAGACACAGAGACATTTACATTTCACCCTCTGAGAAATAGTAGCCATGTGCTGCTTAATGACAGGTCCATTCTGAGAAATGGAATTTCATTGTTGTGTGAACATAATAGGTTACACTTACCACAAGCCTAGACGCTCTAGCCTACTACACACCTAGTCTGCATGGCAGAGCCTGTTGCTCCTGAGCTACGCACCTGTGCAGCATGTTACTGCCCCAGGCGACACGAGGTCTCTGCTGCCAGGTAACCTGGCACACTGTTCGACAGCAAACTGTGTTCTGTAAGTAGAAAGAGAACACTGGAGTAACAACAAAAGGTATAATATAGTAAATACACAGACCAGTAACATGGTCGCTTGTCACCACTGTCAAGGCTTACGCACTGTATGTAATTGTGCTGTACTGTTATACCACTGGCGGTGCAGTAGTTTGTGCACCCCAGCATCAGCACAGACGCTCAAGTGAGGTGTGTGCTGTGACATCAGGGTGGCTGTGACACCTTCGACATCACTAGGCAGTAGGATTTTTCAGCCCCGTTACAATCTCACAGGACCACCATCGCAGATGTGGTTCAGACATGTCGGTGACCACGATGTCGTGCAGCACATGACTGCACATGTCCTAAATCTCTTGAAGATGTGAGAGTAAAGCGCGGGGGCTCGTGTGTGTGTGTGTGTGTGTGTGTGTGTGTTTCTTTCTGTTAATGTTGCATTTGATTGGGAAAGTGCTTGAAGTTTTCTTACTGCCCTCGGCTTCTTTACAGTGCTGCCTTGTCGCATATGGATCAAGCAGCATTGTACAGGGCTATGAAGGCATTGAGACTCGTTCTTCGGTGAAATCTGAACCATGCCTACTAATGAAAAGCATTTACTGCTAGTAGACTTATCTCATTCGGGCTGTTTTTATTTGAAGGAGACTGTATTTGTCCATTTAACTTTTATAAATGTCAAGTACTTTTAACTGGAGAGTTTGCTTTTTGAAGGAATCCTTTATTCATTCATTCACCTACTCGTTAGATAAATATTTACAGATTGCCATGTGCCAGGCATTGTTCTAGACACTTGGGACACATGTAAAGGAAATAGTGATCTCTGACTTGGCGCTTACATCCATTCTAGTGATGCAGAAAATAAATAATTTAGTTTGTGTTAGGTGGCAAATGCTGTTTTTCAAAATGAGAAAATCAAACAGGACAAAGGGAATTGAGAATACACCAGAACATGGCAGAAGACAAACTGCTCTGTAATTGGGTGGTTGGAAGAGGCTTTATTGAAAATGTGACCTTTGGGCAAAGATTTGAAGGGAGTGAAAGAGTCATACATGTAGATATTTTGGGAAGAAAGGGGCTTCAACAGAGAAAACAACTGCAAAACCTGAAATTAATCCTCCTAATTGTTTAAATCCATCTCTTTAGTTGCTTATCAGTGTAGTTAAGTTGGCTGAGGGAGTCACTATCAGGCATTTTAACTTTGGTTTTGGAATATTTCACTTTTGGGGGTTCTTCTTTGGAATCCTCTTTCTGTTTTCACTGGCTAATTCTCTTAACAGTAATTTTGGCCATAGTTTACATTGTCCAAATTTAGTGTTCAAACATGTATACTCAAAAAGTCAATATGTTATTGTGAGAGTAGGAATAGGTTTTCTGGAGAACACCAGTTCCTCCATCTAAAATTTTCTAATCATAGAACTATCTAAGGAACCAAATTAGTGAGTGGAATCTTAGCAGAGAGTGACTGAATGGGTTAGGCTGGGGGCGGAACCCCAGAAAACTAGGGTGGGTGTGCGTGCCCGGCCCAATCAGTGCTGCTCTCTGGCTCCCTGTGTAAAGTCCACGGGTTGCGTGGCATTGGTGAGCATACACTGCAACACGCTGGCCAAGTTACAGCTTTTAAAAGTCCTGAACACATTTAAAATACTCTTCCTTGGTTTATCTCCTTTAATCCAGTGTTCCTCCAATTGCTATGTTAAATGGGTAATTTCTTGGCTATTTTCAAAAATTGGTCTCATCTATAATCATTTACTCGGGCCTTTTCCAGAACTTTTTAAAAATAGACTTATTTTTTCGAGCAGTTTTAGGTTCACAGCAAAAATGAGTGGAAAGTACAGAGATTCCCACGTACATACCCCTGACCCCACACATGCACCACCATCCCATTGTCATCCAGCAGCACATGGGCACATTCTTTACACTCCGTGAACCTACGTGACGCGTCATTATCACTCAAAGTCCACAGTTCACATTTGGGTTCACTCTGAGTGTGCATTCTTTGGGTTTGGACAAATGTGTAGTAATGTCTAGAATTACTTTTTTAAATGTGCAGGATTGTGGAGGTATATGCCAGGAATGTAGCAGGCACTAAAAAAGTAGTTGTTTACATTTTTAAGTAGGGATTTTGTAAACTCTCTTGTATTGTAAAATCCTTTCTTGAAGTCATGTTCTTTGTTCTTTTCTTTTAGAAAATTAATAGAGTTGTCTTTGTTGGAAACTTTCTACGAGTCAATACTCTTTCGATGAAGCTTTTGGCGTACGCACTGGATTATTGGTCCAAAGGGCAGCTGAAGGCACTGTTCCTAGAGCACGAGGTATGGCGGCAGCCGTGCTGTGAGTTGTACGCGTGCTTCATGCGCAGTTTCCTGTGCTGTTCTCGCTCTGTGTTTATAAGTGAAGCACAAGGCTACGCTTCACCTAAACGGTGTATTGATTCCCTCAGTTCAGTATGGATTGGGGGTGATTACTGTCACCTGGCACCCCATTACGATGATAACTTCATAGTTCTTCTGAGAGAAAGAGCAGTATCAGGTCTCTGAGCTCCTCAAACACTGGGCTGCTTTGCATATATACTTAGTGGATCATTTGGGTTTTTTTAAATTGTTTTCTTTATTTTCATCTCTGAGATAACATGTTAAATGAACAATACAAAACTGTATAATTTAGCAGTGAAAATTCTCAATCTTCCCACTACAATCTCTCCCCACTGTTAACATTTTAGAGTTTATTCTGGATTTTTTTCATATTTGTTCACTATAGCCAGTTAAATTCTGATCTAAGCAAATACCAGTTCACATAATGTTTTCGATTCAGTAAATTTACCTTGAATTATCTTGTTTCTGGTCAAAGGGCTGTAGGAGTTTCAATGACACAGGTTCACAGTATTCTCTTCAGAGCGTCCACGTGTCATCGGCGCTGCTGGCACCGAGCGGACCGGACTGGACGGGGGCGCCTGTGCTCCACCCGGCGGGGGCACTGGGGGGCAGGCGGCGCCGAGGGAAGCTGATTGAGGAAAGGGGCCGGGGCACAGAATTGCAGTAATAGCCCTAGAAGCTTTCACGTCTAAAAGCCACACTTAGATATTTCAAAGGTGTATATATTGAGATACAGTTTAAATTTTCTTAAAATAGCTGACAAAACAAATTGGTAGATTTCTGAATAGATATTCTTAATAGATAAAATGTCAATATGTGTTCTTAATAGTGGTTAAGACTGAATGCTAATTTAAAGCTGCACTACATTAATAATTGCTCACGATTGTGCAGGGGTACTTCGGAGCAGTCGGTGCGCTGCTTGGACTGCCGAACTTCAGCTAGAGCAGCGGGTTCCTCTCTGCCGTGAACTGTCGTCCCGGGAGGGACTGAAAACCAGAGGCTAGATTATTGCTGCATTATTTGTCACTGGGAACCAAAGGATAGAAGAGGAGCCCTGTTCCTGTTCATTTGTAAATGTCACAGTGGTAAATGTTGCCATATTAACAGCGACAACTTGGTGGCAGGTGAAGTGTTTCTGATTGAAATGCTTTCCCTTCCGTGTGTAGCCAGTGTTAAATCCTTAAATGCAATACAGCCTCTGACTATTGAGCTTTCTCTCAAAAAAGATTTTCTATTTATTTTATGTAGCCAACATTGCAGTACTGTATGCTCAAACAAATTTTAAAATTCTCAGAAATGTTTAGCTCATGAAAATAATTTTGAATATTTGTTACAAGTCTGTTCTGTGTGTTTTGGTTACTAGTAAGCAGACAATAACATACCCTGTATCAAAATTAGTTGAAATGGCAATCAAAGATCATTTTTATGTGATTTTAGAAATGTTAAGGCAATATTAATTATTCATTATTGTAGTTTTCCTAACATATCCCCCAAAAAAGCATGTTTGTGCTCCTTCCCCAGAGGTACAACCACTCTCAAATGCCATAAATTGAAATACTGTTGTTAAATATTAGCCAGAATTTTAAACGAATCCTAGAAAATGCATATATCTGATGACGTTGCACTTTCTGTATTTTATTAGTTAATCAATATATTTTTTAATTGGAGGCTTAATTACTTATTTGAAAGTGCATTTGTCGCGGCCCCAGGACTCCTCTGGCGTGTGGCCGCCCTGGGAGCTCTCTCTGGGCCGCGCTTGTCTCGGACCCGGCCAGTCCTTTCTGGTCCGTTGGTCCGAACCATCAGAGCTAACCACTCAGTTCTATTATGAACAGCAACAAAATCACATTCATTCCAAATGGATGTTATGCAAGAGTTCTTTGAAACTCTGGAACTCGGAGGCAGTTCTACAGAATTATGAAAGGATCAGTGTTTTGTACATTCTGGTAGTAAGAAAATTACAGTTCCAAAATCTGTAAATCTCTTCGCCTTTGAGTTCTCTATTTTGAATCCTATTTTATAATGTTATAAACCTTTTCAGATTTTCACTTTGGCAGTAACATTTTGGAATCCAATAGTTCAGTGAAGTTGTTTGAGACTTTCTCATGGTTTTTATGGAGTAGAGACTTTGGGAAGTTATTCATATCCTTAAATTGTCAGTACATCTAGTTGTGCTTTGAAGAGCTTAAAAACTGTTTACACGACAGGAAGAGTTATTCCAGTGTGTTTCCACAGCACAGTTTTGTTCCATAGAGAACAGTTCTCAGCAGACCATTGAGAGGCACTTGATAAGGACATTTCTCCTTGGAGTTTCCAAAATTTGTGCTCAAATACTTACAGTTTGGTTTTCTTTATCTAAAGACATTAACATGAATAATAGAAGTGAAAATGGAGAGGGGGAAGTATGTCAACGTACTGTTTTAGAATTTAGAACTTGAATTCATGTCAATCTGTAGTCATTTTTGAAGACCTATAACCAAATGTTTCTTACTTCTGTGTTTTCATTGTAGTGACTAGATACTTCAGCCACAAGCCACTTACTTACTTAATTTATTTTAGAAGTTTGTGATTTGGACATCTGTACAAAACATTTTTTATTTTTAAATGTCCATAACTTCAAATTATATTTCTGGGGCAAACTGTATATTCTCAGCTATAGGTTTAGATGGAAAGAAATGGAATGATCAAAGTCTATATAAGTTAATTTGATCAATATCTTGTTTAATTGGGACTATAATTCCTACTTTCTGTCCTTAAAAAGTACAGTTACTTGCCCGGCTGGTGTGGCTCAGTGGATTGAGGGTCGTCCATGCCCTGAGAGGTCCCGGTTCGATTCCCGGTCAGGGCACAGCCCTGGTTGCAGGCTCCATCCCCAGTAGGGGGCGTGCAGGAGGCAGCCAGTCAGTGTTTCTCCCTCACTTCCATGTTTCTGTCTCTCCCTTTCTCTCTAAAGAAAATCAACAACAACAAAAAAAAAACATTAAAAAGTGCAGTTACTTGCTGAAACAGAGTGGAGTGCCATCTCCCCACTTGCTCTTGGCTTTTCTTGTGTATGATCTAGAATTACTGTAGTAATTCGAATACGGAATTATGATGAAGGCTGCCAAGATTCTAGTTTTTTATTATGATCTTAAGATTAATTCCATGTGAGAATACAGTGCTAAATAGGTTTAGTTATAATACCAATCAATATAATGCCTCAAAGTTCTGTGTTCTTGAACAGTGCTAATAGAAATAAAATATGAGCCATGTGTAATTTTACATTTTTCAGTAGGCACATTTAAAAGTAAAAGAAAAAAAAGGTGACATTCATTTTTATTATATATTTCTATTTAATTCGGTATATCCGATATGTTATCATTTCAACATGTAATCAATATTAAATGTTATTTAGGAGATATTTTACTTTTTTTTTTTGGTACTTAGTATTCAAAACCAGAATATTTGCCAAATATTAGACTCTGCAAAGATTCCTGAGCTTTTTGCCTTTGCGTGCAGATGTGGTTGCTGTGTTATGAGTGCTGGGCTCTGAAAGTTTCGTTTGTGTAAGCGAAGGGCTGCAGCCCCAGGGGAAGGCTCGCTGTGCCCAGTGGTGCTCTGGCCTCCGAGCGCGGCCCCCGTGCGCCTGGACCGCAGACGCTGCGCTCTGGGGGCAGCTCAGCAAGGCCGCAGTCCAGCTGGCCTTGGCAACCGCTGTGTGTCATACAGAGTTTGTTCTTATTTTGTGTAGCCTGTCATTTTTCTGGTTGAGCACTTAATACTTTTTAATGTATTGCGTTGAGAAGGTAGTTTAGAAATTCTCCTTTAAAGCCATGTAAAGACAGCAAGAATAATCACCAGAAAAATGAGTGCATTATTTTTCATTTAACTTACTGTTTTATGGTATGTATAAACAAAATACTAGAAATATCTTCTTTTGTAATAATACTCTCTGACCTGTTTAAGATGATTTGCCATGAAGTGTCAGTCATGTCCTAGTTTCCCAGTGAGTTGGTTTATTTTAGTGTGTTTTAGTCTAACACTAGAGGAATTCAGCGGCTTTGTTTCTTTCATCAGATAAGCTCACAAAATAATGTGCTTTATACTACCACCTGATTTCAATGTTTGACAGTACTTGTCTTATATTTTCTGCTGAGCCTGGTCTTCAGCAAAGACCCAGAAAAGTGTTTTTTTTTCCTTCCTTTAAAGTATTTTAATAGCCTATTTCACAAAAAAGTGTTGTGAAAAGTAACTCATTCTAGCTGTTCAGCCATATCTAAAATTTGAGTAATTTTCACTTCCAGAAAGTTCAGTCTTAAGCAGTCCCTGCCGTTCGCTTTGTCATCAGTCTTCTGTGTCCGGCGCACGTGGGCTAACTTGGGACTGTCTTAGAGGCAGCACCGGTCACTGGTCTGACTGCTTTAACTTTGCTTCCTTGACTTGTCGAATGAGGAATTGACTTGTCATGGTGGGTTATCCGTTGTCATCAAGTTTGTGGCAGCACTGCAGTGACTAAACAGTCTGTTCAGATATTGGCATCATGTCTTAGAATTTATTTTATTTGCATATGTCAAGAGGTACTGGATTTTGAATTCTCACCCAACCAATAGAATGGTATTAGTTATTTCTTCTCATGTTACGTCGCTGCCTGCAATGGCCACGTAGATAGATCTTAATATGAAGGGATGCATATGTATATTAAAGTGTGCGTGTGTGATACTTCAATCTGTAGACATATCTGGAATTTTTGTTAACTTCAAAATTATATGGGCATTATGATAACTTTATTTACACGCTGGCTCTTTCTGTAGTCAAGGTTATTTTACACAGGTTCAGTCTTTGCCACAGCTGCCACTAATTTTGTGTTTAAAAAAACTGATGGGGAATATATTTTTCAAAGGAGTAAATGAAGTTAAAAATCAAGTTTTTTGAATTACATAAATATGCAATCGAATGTCTATTCTAGCATAGTGCTCTTATCCTTTTTCTTGCTACTTCTTAACGCCTTTCATACGCGGCCGTGCTCACACTCCGGAGCTCTCGCGGGAACAGCTTCTGTGCTCCGAGTGTGAACACAACGTGGACAGCTCGAGGGGTCCAGCCACATCCCGTCTCTGCGTCACACGCGTCATGCACCTGGCAGCCGTAGGTCTGGCACATGGGAAGCCATTTTGAAATTTGCCTTTTTTTTTTTTTTTTTTTTTTTTAGGAGGTGCCCTTTTTAATTTACAACATTTAGAAACAAAAAGTAACTTGGTAAACCCGGCATCAGTGTCCTAGTCTCCTTGTCCTGATACAGTGAATGGAATCGGAGAAAGTCATGATGAGATGGGCTTGTCCTTGTTTGTACGTTGTGTGTGTTCACTTTATCACTGAGGTTCAGTGACATTGTCTTAGTTCTGCCCAGTTACTGACCAAATCACACTTGGATGTCTGTTAATTTCACTTATACAAGCCATTTCCGTTTAAGTTGCCTTTTTCTGTCGCATTGTTCTTGTCAAGTCTACACTTTGTCGTGTTGGAATTCTAACACTGAATCGGATGTAAAAATGTATCATGTGCTAGAAAGTTTATTCATAACAAACTAAGTTATAGCCTATTGTAACCTATAAAACATGTTTTGTAAATTGTCTAATTTATTTTTTTTTCACTTATGTACAGTTTCTTATGTAAATTTTTAAAATGTTTGTTGTGGCCTTTTCTGTAAACATTCTCATACTCTTCCTTAATGCTTATTTGCATGAAAGAAACTTGGGTTTTGCTGATTTGCACTGTACGGCCATTAAGCCCATGTCAGTACTCTGCCTTTTCTGTAGTTTAACTTTTTCTAGTTTTGTTCATATTCTAAGTAAATGCTAAAATCATGCTTATTTCCTACTTTCAAAATAAATTCTCTAAGTTGTTTATGATGTATATCTTTTCATTATTTATACCTTGTACCCCCACATTTGCATTCTGGTTAAATGTAGGTTTACATGCAATAGCTGTGGCAGAATGTAAGCTCGGAGAACAGGACTGCACGGAGGCCGCTCACCTGTGTCCCGGCACCTGGCATTCAGTCAGTACACTAGGCTGAGTGGATTGATGGTAGGGAGAGTGCCCTCTCCAGGCTGCCTATAGACAGAATTAGCATAGTTGTCCGCCACCTTCCTCCACATTAGAAGGCACATGTGTACTTCTGAGACGCAGACCTTGAAAGGCTCTGCTTTTCCCGGAAAGGGGGCCATGTTGCCCCGCCCAGAAATAAACACGCTCTTCAGAGATGCCAGAACTCTCCCGGTACTTGGGGAAGGGTTATTTCATGTTTCCTCTGAACCAAAACTCCGCTTACTTAGGAACAGGAAATGCCTGTCAGGTTTATGGGGAAAAAATGCACTGACAACAGAGATCCAGAGACATGGAACTGGGGGGTGGACTGAGACCTTGGGGGGCGGGGGCGGGAAGAGAGAAACCATGGAACTTCCATGTATAACCCACGGACACAGACAGCAGCCGTGAAGACGGGAGGAGGGTGTCCACGGGGGGCGGGGGACATCTGTAATACTTTCAACAATTAAGATGCATTTTAAAGGAAGAGAGGGTTTTGATGATCTTAATATGTGAGGAATTAAGTTGGAAAAGTGACTTCTGTGATTTGTAACTGACTGCCTAGACTCCAGGCACACGGGACGGTTGGAGACGAGGCTGCCACGTGGGGCCTTGCTGTTGAAAACACCCAGCAAGCAGGAACTAGGAAGAGAGTGGGAGATGGCGACTAAGGTGATGGTTTGGTGTGGAGACACTAGATGGGAGGTGTAGCTAGCTGTCCAAGCATGGAAGCCGTTGGAAGTAGGCTAGGAAGAGCAGAAGCAGGTCAAGGCTACAGAGGAAATCTTCGAGGGGTGGAAGGGGTGGTACTGGATTCTGTACACGGACCAAGTAACTTGACAGCAAGATGTCTTCTATTTACATGTTCCTCAGTTGAGTGTATTGTATATCGAACAAACTGTTAATGTTCCAGCATCTCCAGTCTTGATCACTTCTTGTACTAAAAGCTTTATAAATTCCCATTTTAAGACATATGTCTGGATTTTAGGGTGTTTTAAGTTTTGTTCTTTCCTGAAATAAACAGAAGACCTGATTCATCTGCTCCTTTACATAAAAGTTGGTACTTTTTTTTTTTTGCCCGGCTGGTGTGGCTCAGTGGTTGAGCATCGACCCATGCACCAAGAGGTCGCTGGTTCGATTCCTGGTCAGGGCACAGGCCCAGGTTGTGGGCCCGATCCCCAGTGGGGGGCATGCAGGAGGCGGCCAACTGATGTTCTCATCGATGTTTCTCTCCCTCTCCCTCTAAAATCAATAAAGAAAAAAAAACTTAGTACTTTTTAATGTTGCTGTTTTCCGAGGGTGACAGCACACCCCAGAGGTGCAGCTGACTGTACACTGGGTGAATAAGTGCATAGTCCCAGCCAGCGCTTTAAATGGGAAGGCCAGTGTCTGGAAGTAGTAACGTTACCGAAGCCACGAAGGGGTGTCTGTCCTTTGGGGGAGGAGAGCCCAATGGACTCATTTTTCTCCAGCAAGAGGTTAGTGTCAGCTACCCCGATGTTGGTGCAAAAACAATCCTTTCCATCTATTAAACATGCCTCTCAGAACATTCAAGGCCCCAAACTTGGGGAGAGGTAAGCGAACACATGTTATGTAGGAGGGTGTGGGTACACAGAAACCCCGCAGTACACCCCCAGGTTTTCAGGACAATTGTTAATGCTTCAAAAAACGATTTGGTTGAATTTGTAACTACTCTTACTGATTTTTCTTTACTTTTGGTTTCAGACCTGTTTATTTTTTATATTCAACTGTATTGAGATACGGTTTAAGTACAATAACATTTAAATAAGTTCGGTAAA